TAACATAGTTTTCTAATACTCAGTAGGAGCAAAGACTCCTATGATGATGATGCTGATACTGCCAAACCTTCACTTTTCCACCACCCTTCTATCCCATGTACAGGGTCACCTATGGTTATTTTTCAAACATGAGTTTTCAAAAGCTGAACTCTCAACAGTACCTCAAAAATTTAACATAGTTTTCTAATACTCAGTAGGAGCAAAGACTCCTATGATGATGATGCTGATACTGCCAAACCTTCACTTTTCCACCACCCTTCTATCCCATGTACAGGGTCACCTATGGTTATTTTTCAAACATGAGTTTTCAAAAAAGCTGAACTCAACAGTACCTCAAAAATTTAACTAAAATTTAAAAGTCCTCAGTGATACCATATATCAATATTTATGCCACAGCTGAACCACTGCTTCACAATAAGTAGTTTTAGAAAAGTCTCAAATATATAATATAAAAGATTGATAGTGAAAAAGGAATCTGATTATCTGTTTCACACTGGTTGCAACTTTTAGGTCTGCTGAATTTGAGTACTTTTGCACTACTGATGAAAAGCAGGCACTTTTAAGTTGCTAACGTAGAAGTTCCCCAAACTTAACATGAAAATTTATAAAACCATGCAAGAAAAGAACACTTTTCTCACTCGTCCTCTGCAGGTATTATGTATTCTACAGGAAACATGAATAAACTTCACATTCACATCAAGATAAAAAGTGTGATTTTCTCCAGCAAGTAATTTAAAGTCTTTTCACTGATGTTTTTTCTAGGACTCACTGATAAGTAACTGAAAAATATTTTCATAGAATTGTGAATATTCTGCTATAAATTAAGAATTGGACAAGTCTGACCAGATACTAGAACTCATGTTCTGCACCACAAGGCACTATCTATCTAATGTGTTAGGAATATGTCCTTCTGACAGCTTAAGTCAGAGCTTCCTAAGGTTTATGACATCTTCTGCTACTGACGTCTCTTCAGGACATGACTAGGAAGAACAGAACAACATTTTTGCTTCTGCAGCCTTACAAAAGATGATGCTTAAGCTAAAAACGTACATATCTATAATCCACTACATTAACAGAAAGTATTTTACATATAATTAGGTTTTGAGGGCTAACACTCCAAGACCAATACAGGAAATGAGCTTCTTAGTAACATGCTAATATGTGGAGTTAAAGGTACAGAATCAGATTAGATACATTGCAGAATAAAGTTTAATGTTCAGTAAGTCCCTGTTCCCCTTATTTGTAAACCGCCTACAGAAAATTTAAATGCTGGACGATGAGAGAAAGATACCCCTTTAACAGGCATGGTAAGAAATACCCAAGTAGACAGACAGCCTTGCAAAAGAAGAAACACTACCTGACACTGAGCATTTTAACTGGTTCATCAAATTAACTATCACACTAAGTTTGAGTACCATCCTGAATCTAGGTTCATTTATTCACATACACACATTAAATCCAACTATCCAAAGTAAAAAGTCCCAAGCCAATTAAGTCTTAGTTCTCCAAAGCAGCATTTGAGGTTCCACTAAATGTTTTATACAATAAGGCACAGAAGTAACTTTTCATTAGAGAATTGAATTGCACATCAGATATGATTGAAATGGAGAACTATACAGACTGAAAGTCAGCATGAATGCAAGCTGGAAGACATGCCCAAAAGATTAGCACCCTCACCCCCCAACCTGAAAGTCATTTATATAGTACTGACACAAACAGATGCCTGGAATTATTACTAGATGGAAATCCCAAAGGTCCTTGGCACAACATGTATCAGGACTCAGTTCTGAATGCATCTGAGTGACCCAACACATGAACGATGGGCATTTCCTTGACAGGTTGTCAGGCATTCAGCTGGCATCCTACCAAGACATGTGGTATGTCTTAATTCAAAACATGTGTCCTTACCTGATCTCCTATAAATCTATGGGAAGAAGGTCTACCTTCCCGCATTTGCGGGAGAGGTCGCTGGCCAACACTTAAATATACCATATTCAACTGAAGACGACAATACTACCAGATTGGAAGAAAGCTTCTTACAAACTCTTAAATCTGCTTGTTTGGTTTATAAGCTAAGTATCAATCAGCTTTAGAGTGTGTTCTGAATGCTCAAAACCAGGAACAACAGCAAATTCCCCCATGTCAAAGCTTTTAAAACGATCTGTAGTTCTTATCCATTACTCACAGTAAGCTTGCATTTGTTCTATGAGTAGATTGGTACTACAATTACTCTGGCAGGTGACCAGAAATACTGGGTCTGAGGCAGGATTACACCATTAGCATTCAGAACTCTTGACAGTCCCTATGTACAGGTGTTAAGCAACATTATCCTACAGGATGAACCAATTCGATTTACTTACATGCACAACTATCTTTTGACTTGAATAGCTTCTCTAAAATTAAAGCACACATATTTTCCAGGTGGTGACCAGTCTTGTTTCAAAGTCTTCCATTCTCCTCTTATTTACACGATATGCAATAAAGACTTACATGAAAATTAACCTGCTCCAGAGACTGTTTCAGATACAACACTCAGAAGATCTACATAATTCACAGCACTTCAAGATTTTGGAGCTCTTAACCAGTGCCACTTCAGTACATACTTCACTAAGTACTCCTCTGAAAGTTTCTCCAAGAATCACATTCAGACTCCTATTCTGATGTAGCAAAAAAACTGGGTGGGGGTAAAAAAATTACCAATACGTTGCAGCATACTCAAATACGAAGAATTTACACATGTCATGGTTTCAAGTGAGGAAAGCCTGAACAAGGTTTACATGGGACAAAGTTCCAAGCAGTCACTAAAACAGTCTCTGAATGGATAAGCCATACTCTGGAACAGATATTCTTTCAGAAAAATGTATCTGTAAGGCAAAGGATTCAAAATGATGGTTGTCTAGAACAGATAAATGCAAAATGTTTCAATGAAGACAGATGAAAGAATCCTCCTTGCAGTTATATGAAGAAAAATTCTCATTAAAGCAGCTCATTACACAGGTTGTTACAGTATATAGCAAAAAGGAAAGCTTTAAAAGCATTCTTACTTCTGCAGTGTCATTGCACAGAGGAAATGTAAACTTCAGTTCTCACTTTTTCAGTGTCCTAAAGACAGACAGAGTTGGAACTTAAATAAAGATTCTGGGAACAAAATAAGAAGGCCAAACTTTTGAACTGAATAGTTAAGAAGAATTCCAAATTTAACTGCATTTAATCTGCCCAAAACAGCACATGCAAACAAAATACTGTTCTCTGAAACTCAGTAATTCAACAAGAACTTCTGCAAAAAAATTCTGCATACCTGTGGGAATAGCAAGAATGCCAGTCACAAACACATCAAAAGCTAATGACAATTTGTTTAGTTGATCCTCTGATTTCCCTCAAGCTTTGGTATGAGCCTCATGATGATGATTAAATACCTATTTACTGATTGGAAAACTGAAATTCTCCATCACTGCAAACATACACACACACGCAAGAACACCAAGTCAAATTTTCCTTTGAGGACTCTTTCTACCCGAGCAGACTCATTTCTGGAAATTTTCCAAGTCCTGGCATCTTATATACTGATCTAGATAAAACAAGAAGATGATGACTCAAAGGGGCAAGCTAATGAAAAAAGGGGCAAATTGT